TGAATGAAATGCATGGGGAAATGTTTGATTTTTCTAATTAGTTCATGTTTGCAGTGCATAGTTTTACATTCCTTACATGTGCTCTGCACATGCCCTTAACAATCTTAATTCTGTCTTTCATTTTCTTTCCTTCCCCCAACTCCATCTCTTGATCTCCTTCCCATTTGAGAAAATCTATCTCTCCATTTCCTATTATCTGTCTTTTACTTTGCTCTTCATTTATAATTCAGATTTCTCATGTAAGGGAAATCCTGAGAGATTTATTGAAGCTTGAGTGTCCGATTTATCTCCCTGAACATTGTGATCGCAAAATGCATTCATTTTTCTACAAATTTTTGACCTTAAAGAAAGAAAAATTACTTTATAAATGTAGAAACCATCTTTAAAGGTGAATATGAAAATATAATAAAGCAAGATCCTATCAATAGCCCAGGAGTTTAAATCATGGAAATTACTCTGCAATGTTGAGTATTATTATTCCAGCATTTCAGAAAGCATCAGACAAAATCTGATTCATTTTAACTTTCTGGTACCAAAAAAAAAAAAACACAGTCTTATTGATCTGGTGATTTTTTTTAAAAAGGCAACGTCCAAATAAAACTTCACAAAGATAGCATTTTCTAACCACGAAACATAATCTTATTGGTGAGCAAGCAGATATTGACTTGCTACTTTATATGCAGATAGTTAGTGCTCTTCAAAATAGCTTTTATCAGATACGAGGAATACAGATTCATTGTAATTGTTGTTTTAAGGATACAAATATGAATAGGAACACAATCTCACAACTATAAGTAGTGGGAATCACCACTTAAAACAACTTTACACATTTCCTTCCAGTTTTTTGTCTGCATATGAATAAGAATTGAGACTAAACTGTCTATAAGAATGTATAGCCTTATGATTCAATTATAACATAAACATTTCCTTCTGTTATTAAAAAAAAAACCTTTCGTTGAACATGCTTTTGCTGGCTGCATAATATTCCATGGTGTGAGTTTATATAAACAATTGTTATTCCACATTGTTCTCTTAGGTCAGATTTCTAATAATGTATTAGAAATAGATAGTTAATAAGGGGCTGTGATCATGGTAGAGGTTTTCCTGTATTTTGATCAGAACAGTGAAAGCAAGTGGAACTGATGAGGGATAAATCTCACCTGAAATCACTAGACCCACAGATTGGCTTCTCCTAGCACATCATTGTGTATTTTTATTTCCAAATCCTCTTTCTAATACTCTGGGGATGGATCTGGCTTCTCCTGGGGGAGAGCTAAAGTAAGTCTTAGCGCCAGTGTAGCAATTTGTGGGTTGATCTGTTAAATGCCTCATGTGGCATAAACCAAACATCCACAGAAACACATTTTTGCAGGTGAAAATGATGTTCACCAACATCATTTCTCACTCCGGTACATGATGTCAGGTATCCGATTTCTAGTAGATCTCTTGGAAGGAGATTAAAAAGACACCAACCTTAACCCGTCCTGATGATGTGAAAACTGTCCAGAAGCCTGGGGTAGAGACACTTGGTACAGTAGCAGCTCATTGGAGCAGACCAACGCCCAGTCACGGAATAGCTTTCGAGGATTCGCTTTCTTTGCATTAACGGGCTTCTCCGCGGAGTCTGGGAGTCATTAGCGCTTTTCAAGAGAGAACTGGACTGAAGTAAAGTATGCTGTATTCAGCCCTGCACACTTATAAAGGGTCTGAAACAGTTCTGTGGTGACTGAATACATTTCTCCTTTTCCATCACTTTTTCCCTACTTGGCCATTTTCCTGAAGCCATAATTCAAACTTTCCAAAGGGGTAAAATAATCCCAGGGTAATCCTTTTCAGAACTTTTAGGAGGAAACTTTTATTCTTTTATCATCCTTCTGAGAAACTTAACCTTTACTGCTATTAGGATTTAAAATGCTTTACCGCCCACATTACCTAGGGGAAGGCGAGGCGGAGAGATCATGAAAGCAGAAGCCTAGAGTTCAGTGAGCTTGGGTCCTGAGGGCAGGGCCACTCAGGGAAAGAGTCACTCAGGTATGGTACCCTGACGCTGAGATCTTGGCAAAAGACCTTTTCATCGCAAAAGGGTGACTAGAGGGCTTTGCGTTGCTATGAGCGGGGACAGCAGGGGCCGGCCTCAGCACCCCGGCACAGAAGGCTGGCGGTCTTTGGACCCTGACAGGTTCCTTTGTCACCTGGAGCACTCGGTTCGCAGAGCTGAGACCCGCACAGCAGGACGAATCCACGTTCCCAGCCCTCCTCTGGTTTTCAGGAATTCGATTCCTCAGGTGCAATTCGCAGTTCTCTCCCAGCAGCAACTCACAGCGAGAGCCTGGCTTTCACCTTGGCCTTGGCGGGCTCAGTCTTCACCGCCGAGAGCCTCACGCGCCGGCCCGCGCAGCCTTGCGGTGTCTGTCGCACCGGCAGCAGCCAAACAGCAATGTGCAACCGGCTGGGGGATCGGAATTTGCAAACTCAGTATCCTGGGCCTCAGGCCAACGCGGGCTGGGTGCGTTGCTGTGGTGACACATTGAGTCTCCGGGGCAGGGTGCTGGCACACCAGCTGCATTCCTGGCACGGCGTTTGCCAGTGCGAAACCTACGGAGTGGAGCTGGTATCAACTCCAGAGGGAGACACAAGCTGCTTCCTTGACTTCCCTGGCAACGCTCCCTCCACCACTTGCGCACAGTACACCCTCCTGAATATTTACAAGAACTACTCTTCCTGATGCTCTTTGGGGCCCGATGGGATGGTACTTTGAAGAGAAGCACTGACATGATAGCAGCCTTCCAGTTCACAAATGTAGCTGTAGTATCCCCGAATAATTCCGTTTCCTAAAATTGGCCCTTAACTCTGCAGTGACTTATCTCTGCTTGGGAAGGGATTCTAAACCCCGCCCCATTCAAAAAGTATCGTCTGCTGTTGCCAGGAAGACAGGCCAGTGTTTACCATCAGGATATGAGAAGTCAAATGCTAGCTGTTTTCTGATTTGTTGGCACTACCTTAGCTGAACTCTCTAATACCTGGGAGAAAGGTCCTCTCTGAAATGGCCTTAGTGCTTCAAAAGGCCTGATCCACCTCTCTGATTTGTGCCTGCAAAGCAACACGCGTCAGGATTTGGCCACTTAGTATTCAGACCATGTCAAGATCGGAGTAAAAAGCCTATATTCCAAAGCTGGATGCACAGTTGCCGGACCAACACATTCAGCAGCAGATCCTGGTTAGATTCTAAGCAAGCGTGGGGCAAAACATGCAGACCTGTCTTGTCAATGAAGCAGCAGCAATAAAAGGAATTAGTCCATAAATGCCAGCTTGGGAGGTTTTGACGAATTCAGAGATAGTGTTCTTCCCAGCTGCCCCCAGTTGACTGTAAAAGCTGGTGAGGATTTTGAGCATTAATGCCTTCTTCCTCCATCTCCTTCTTTGTCTTCTTTTAAATGCAAAGTTATCTCTCAAAGTACTGAGAAAGGAAAAATCCCTCTGTGTGTTTGCACAGTTTTGCAAAGGGACAGCAAGTTTACACGGCCAAGTATCAGATGCCACAGGGGAAACACAGTTTAGACAATAATTCACACATGTTAGCGCTTACCTCCGTCGTTGTCAGCTTTATTTTCTTCCTGATGTACACAAAGCCGGCACACAATTTTAACTGATGCGGTAAGGTCATTTTTAATTTAGAGATGTCCACTCTAACCCGTGATATCATCTTTGCAGTTGTCTCCTGAGACTTTATGTAAACATAACTGATACGTTCTGTGCACTTGAAAAGGGATTGTTAGAGATGACATTGGTCAGCATGCAGATTTTGTCCCTCTTTGATATCTTTTCATTTGCCAGATAGAGTTTATGTGACTGTCATATTTGAGATATGCCTCAGATTAATATGTCCCAGGACTTTTGAGCCAACTGAAACATAGAAATGAAGTAAAGATTTGAATGAATGCATTATAATGTTTTCGTGTCAGTTCCAGGAGAAAAATGAAGACCAATCAAATTCTCTGGCTCCAAGGAGACTTGCTAAATAGAAGAGCAAAGAGAAAGACTTAAAGGAATATATAATACTCAATAAACAAAAATCTTCTCATTTTCATTGGGTCTACTAAGTTTTGGTGATGAGTCTCTATCTTCTAAAGATAAATAAGCTCCCAAGCACACCTCCTATCTCAATATACACTTTAGAATAATATTTTATTGTCGCTGTGTAATACATCTCTGCAGTTCACCATTATTAAGACTGAGTTTATTTTAATTATAAAAATTTGGTGATCTCAAGTATTCATATTTCTGTGTCCAACAATATTCCTTTAAAGATTCAGGCTGGTAGGTACAAACAAATCTGCTTTCCATTTCTAAATAAACTTTTTTTTTCCCTATGGATAAATTATGTTTTATGACCCAGGCATGCTTTGGAGAAGATAATCTGTTTTTTTCACCATTGAAAGTGGCTACTGAGAGAGGTGCCCGCCCCATAGGAAGTCTGGAGTTTGTGGAATTTAGTTAAATAGTGAAGTATCTGTTTATTATTCTGTGGCCATATGTTTAAAGGGTTGTTCACAGAAATCGGAGTATTCTTCATGGACAGCTCCAGCTAAGGAGACATTTTGAATTCATAAAAGAACTTTGCAGTTTGAAAAGAATGCAGAGCATTATGTATTGACACCCTACCACCACAGACAAAGGGACACAATTTAATAATAGAGAATTGTGCTCGTGAGATTTTTCTTTTTCTTGCTAATTGGTTACTTTAACTGACATTGTCTGTGAGCATAATGGACACCATTATTCTTAACAGTTCTGAGTTGTCAGATGATGTATACAGACATGCTGTAGTCCATTTTAATTATTTCATTTTGCTGGATATGTCTGCCTCCATGTAATTCAGCAGCAAATGCAGACAGCACTGATTTTGGCAGATCATGCTGGATAATGTTAGTTTTTAAATTAATGGAATGAAAAGGGCATTTCCCACCAACCTAATGTCTCCTCTCCTGTTTGTGTGCTAGGTATGACTACGTGGAGGTCATCGATGGAGAAAATGAAAATGGACGTCTATGGGGAAAGTTTTGTGGGAAAATTGCCCCTTCCCCTGTAGTGTCTTCAGGACCATTTCTTTTCATCAAATTTGTCTCTGACTATGAAACACATGGTGCAGGATTTTCCATTCGATATGAAATTTTCAAGAGAGGTGAGTGAGAAACATACTGAAGAACAAGTGTAACTAAATGATCATTGACAGTTGCTCAATTTCTCAAGAGATGGGGATCATGCCGTCGCTCTCTATAAAGTACTATATATTCCCTTTGCAAAACCATTGGAAAATACTTATAACACCTTTAGTATAAAAGAACATGCGTGACATCAGTATGAACAGATAGTTATAAATGTACTGTATTCTTGCATTGAAAGCTGTGTGACGTGCTAGATAAATCCTACTGTAAATATATGTCTACGTACATACATATCTCCATCTACATGCTTCGTGCATGTGGTGATACAACGACAAAGATGGTAGAAAAGAGGCCAGGAATAGCCTTTCATTTCCTGTATAGTGAAACTTTGGTTTGCAGGCATAACTTGTTCAGGAAATATGCTGGTAATCTAAGGTACTTGTATATCAAAGTGAATTTCCCCCTAAGAAAAAATGAGAACCCAGGTGATTTATTCCATAACCTAAAGCATTCATATAAAACTTATCACAATATTGTAATAGATTGCAAAATAATAAAGAAGATGCAAAATAGAAAGAGAAAACCAAATTAACCTGCACTTACCTTGGAAAACCTTCATGGCCAGTGTGAGGGAGATGGGGGGGTATAGTGCAGGACAACTCACTGTCACTAACGGAATCACTGCTGTCTATTGGAAGCTTTTTCTTCTCATGCAGCTTTAACAAGGAGTCTATCCAATGTCGCTTGCCTTTGTCTCCTTTTGAGGAGTTAGAGAAAACATGGCATTGCATTGTCGTTAAACAGATTTGTCACCGTGCACTGCTACAGCCTCGTGCGGGTGGTGTTTTCTACAAAATTTTGCTCTGCTTCACACATTTTACTCATCTCCCTGATCTCATCAGAAGCCAGGGATTCCTCTGCCTTTTTCTCCTCTTTCCCTGTAGATGAGCTCTCCTCCAGAACCTCTTGCTGTTGGGAGACCACCCAAGTCCTGGGGCAAGGCGGGGTGCACTGGCTCATGTGACATTCAGTGTCATGTACTGTTTGCTCACTTAAGATTTATTAGAAATGTTTGTTCTTCATGTGGAGCAGTCACAGAACAGTTACTCACAATCCAGAGTTTTGCTGTATTTCCTAGAGACCTGTATGGATGAAAGAGAGAGGAGAGAGACCTATCACGAGGTCATCAAGCACCAGGTGTGATCAAAACATTTGACGAAAATTTGAAAGAAATGTTTGTGAGTTGCATTAAAAGATACATTGTCATTAATTTCCCTCACAGTACTCCCTCTTCTTCAAGCACACTTACCCCACTGTTCTTAGAACTTTCTGAAACCCTTCTGGAAGTCCTCTTTTGTGAGTGTCTTTAAAGAGTTGCGCTGTAAGGGCTGCCTGCCTGTCTTGAGTCAATTCCAAGTGTTTGCCTTCCGTGGTGATTTCTGACTTTGGGGAAGAGCCAGAAGTCACATGGTGACAGGTCCAGTGAATGAGCTAGGAGAGGACCCACTGTCACATTTTTACAGCCCTGCCTTTTCTTTGGACGGCGTGTGGCAGTGGCTTTCACCATATTTTAAGCATACCTTAAAAAGACACTCAAGAAAGAGGGCTTCCCAAACTGCTTAAGAAAGTGGCAAGAAAGATGGGATGGGTGTGTCCAAAGTGAAGGGGAGCGTTGTAAGGAGGATTAATGGTCATATATCAGTCACTGTAGCAACATGTTTTCAAATGTAAACATTCACCATATATTTTGATCATACCTCATATTCACCTTCCTCCCCAATGAACTCAGCTTCCTGCATTCCTATTAGTCTCAGATGTGCCGTAATTTCCTTGTCCTGCTGTCCAGCACCAGCCTTAGGATTTCGATTTTGTTCTTTCTCTCCTCTACTCCCTACATCAACATGGGTTGTTAGTTCTCTTTAATTTCCTTCCAGAGGTCTCGCTGAGTCATAGTTTCCTTTCCATGCCCACTGCCATTAATCAAATGGGCCCAAACTGCAGCTTTCTTCCTGCTACCTAATTCTGCCCATGGCTTCTCAAACAGACTCCAGCCAGGTCGTCCTGTTGCCTGCAGTGGTCTCCATCACCTTTTGGGGGAAACACTCCTTCCCTGCTCGATGCTTGATATCGGGGCCACCTGCCCTTGACTATCCACCACTGCTCTCACAGACCTCCCTGCCTGGCCTCCAGCCTCAGCATGGTGTCCTGGGTACAGCCCAGAAGACCTGACTATCAGTTTACATCCTGCCACTGGCTACTGGTAAAAATGCATAGAGCCTCGGTTTCCTTCTCTGAAGACCTGGAAAATAGTACCCAACATGAGCTTCTTGGGAAAATCAGATGAGGTGGAAAACACACACCCAGTGCCTGATACTGACATGTGCAAGGTACAAGAGTGCGGCAGTGACTGTGAACAAAGCTGGTGCTTTCAAAATTCAGAGTCCTTGCTCTCTTCCAGGATGTCCTCAACATTCTGGGAAAATTAACTCTAAGTGTACTCTTCTCTGGATGTTCCTCTTAATTAATCTGCTCTTCACATTATGCATGTGCCCAAGTTATCCCAGATGTATGTGTGTACTGTACAAACTAAGTGGAATGCAGGTATATGCAGTATGCTTATGCACGTTCAAATACCCCACATGAAATCACTGGTAAGATTTAGTAGTGAGAATATTTTCTTATTTTTTTCATGTATCAGATTAGTAGTACTTGAAAATGGCAAAAAGCTGTTAAGATATATATAT